TTAGTGAGATCTCAGAGTGCTGTGGAGGTGGAAACATATTAATTTGAGCATATTTCCAAAGTGTTCTATGTGGCTTTAAATTTCTATTGAGTCTGTAGTTATGACTATTTCTTATTGTCTCAATATTATTTATGTATACTTTCACTCTTTTTAAATAGGTCAGTCTTGATTGGAAGTATTTCTATTAAATTAATATTTTCAAAGAATCAGCTTTTGGCTTTGTTGATCATCTCTATTCTGCTCTTTATTATCTTATTCCCTCTACCTTCTTACATTAACTTTTTTCTCTGGCTTCACACATTGAACGCTTTATGAATAACCTTGAATATTTTAAAAAAGTATTTAACACTGCAAATTTCCTTCATTATTCCATTCTAGATGCATCTCATGTTTTTAATGTATTTTATTGTCATTCAATTTTAATTTTTTCATAATTTCCGTGCTTATTTTCTCTAACTCAGTTGCTATTTAGGATTGTGTTTAGTTTCTAGAGGTATTTTTAAAACTATCTTTTTACTATTGATTGAAATTATTAACATACACATTTGATTTTTAATAACTTTAGAGTTAATAACTACAGCATTCTCCAAAACAATGCATGGAGTTTTCAACACTTTAATTCCAATCTTTCCCATCATACCATACCATCTACTTTTCTGTTATGGTTATAAAGTATTTGGGTTTCCTTTTTTTTAACCTTGCCTTTTTATATTAACAGTACTCATTTAGGTTTTCCAGTATGATAAACAAAGTCTTTGCTGATCATTTTAAAAAATTTATTGTGATTTGGGTGAAAGTTTACAGAGCAAATTCATTTTTCATACAGCAGTACATACACATTTTGTTTCATGACATTGATTGCAATTCCCCACAATGTAACAGCTTTCTTCCTACTTCCTCCCTGTAGTTACCCCTTCCCTGTGTCCTTCTTTCCTATGCATTCCTGCCCCCTGAACTATCTCCATGTGCAAACACTGCCCTTCTGTTCTACAATTGATTGCTCTAAGGAGTGTATCTACCCGATGTAAAAATATTCACCACTTTTCGAACAGCAGCTCACTGTTTCTTGCCTGAGTAGGATGCGGTTTCTGTCAGACTTCATTCCACAAGCCTCTGATTTTAGGCAACACTGAAAAAAGAG